GTTTTACAGCCGCACCATGAAAATGCCTGTGCATTTCCTCCCCCACCCCCACATCCTGTTCCCGAGCCGAACTGTCTTTCAGAGGGGCTGGATTTGTTTTCATGGCCAGAATCGATTTCTTCTTCTACTTCCTTTCCTGTTTGGCTGCGAGTCGCCCTGGCCTGTCGTCTTTGGCTGCAAGCCAAACTTCCTTCTAGCATCTCAGAGGGGTCTCTGGGTTAGTCTGCGACTTTAAAAAAACCAGTAGCTCTGGAGCACCTTAGAGACGAATAAACATATTTATACGATATCGGAAGCTTTCATGGGCGCCTTAGAGACGAATAAACATATTTATACAATGTCGGAAGCTTTCGTGGGCAGAACCCACTTCCTCAGATGAGAGCGGAGAAAAAAGTGGGAACGTCCCAAAAAAAAAGAGAGAGAGAGAGAGAAGGGATGAGTTTGGATATTAGTTTTTCCTGATATCCAACCTAGACCTACCTCCTACACTGTAATTTGAGACCATTGCTCCTCGTCCGATTATCTGCCTCCACTGAGGACAGCCCCTCTCCATCCTCTTTGGAACCTCCCTTCAGGAAGTTGAAGGCTGCTCTCAAATCCCTCCTCATAATCATAATCATCGACATCCTTATTGCTGACTATTTTCACTAAGTTCTTATCGTCATTATTTAGGGTTTGATTAGTCATAAACTCAGTGCCTTGTGGCAAAAAACCCTGCAAATTTCAGAAGCCATGGAAGATGGCTAAGTTTCTTAGATTGTTACAAAACCCAAACATGTAGTTGAGGAAAGAAACAGCTAGGAAGATCCTAAATCTTACACTGTTGATACAATAAACTCCTTAATTGTAATCAAGTATAAAGATGCTTATTTCAACACAGAGCAGATATATTAACTCTGAACGGTGGATTGATGGGGTTTTGTGTGAATAATTTTTTGCTCACTTGATTTTGCTAAGTATTGTCTTCTGTGGGGTACTTTTAAATGGGAAGGATGAACAGTTCATATTTATCAGCCAACTAGATTTTGTTTTGCTAAATTGCACATATAAACACAATTTTGTGTTTGCAGTTGATTAGGAAAAGTTTTGCATTATCAATTTATGCAAATATTAGGTATTCAAGTGGACTTGCATATGAGACTAATTGAATCTGAGTTGAGAATGCATACTGATGTAATGTCTATGTTTCAAAGCATTTTTGTGTTGTTATATTTTGACTTTACAAACGAAATAATAGTACTTATTTTGAGTCCGAGTTAAGGTTAAGAGGTCCTTAGTGACTCCTTTTATTTCAGCCTCCTAATTAAGGTTATGGCAAAATTTTCCTTTCGAGGACGGTGTAAGAGTTTATTTTTCTTAGGGCTGAAGGGAATTATGGGTAGCCATGGCAAGGAATTCTGAGACTAAAAGATTGCAGCTTCCTTCCCTCAGGACTAGAGAATCCAGGGAAGGGTCCATTTGGTTGATGAGCCAGAGAAAGACAATTCAGGCAGGACCGTGTCGTGGCGCACATAAGATAGCGTTCTGCACATGATATGGTTAATTCTATTTTAATACAACCCCTGGAATACAATTGCATTTAATTCACAGCATCAGGGGACAAACAAGTGAGCCAGGAAGCGCAAACTCTCTACTTCTGTGAAGTTTAGGTTCTGCCCTGGACCAGAACGTCGTCTTAGGAGTCCTTGAGCATCTCAGTGTTCGTAGGGCTATATATGAGTATGCTGTGCAAGGCTAAATGCTAGAGGCAGATGTAGATTTTTAGCGGAGCAATGGTAACATGGGCACCAGCCGCACAGCGTAGCCATGCTGACTACAAACCCACCCTGAGGCCTAGCTAAGCTGCGTCCACACTGCCCATGCCACCGTGGCTATGCTGGTATGGATACTATTGCTAAACTGCAGTAGGGCTGACAACCATGACAATCCTATTCTGTGCCTAGGAAGGGGGCGGGGCCTCAGGAGGAAGGGGCGGGGCCTCAGGAGGAAGGAACAGGGCCAAGGACAATCAGTCCTCAGCACGGCGCACGTCGTGCTGCCCTCCCCCCCCCAGCACCATGTGAAGCGGCGTTGTGATGCCACAGTAGCGCTGGCAGGAGGTGGAAACTCCGGGCCCCCTTGAATTGCTGGGTCCAGGAGCAACTCCCACCTTTCCCCACTGTTGGCACGTCTGCTACATTTTATCATCAGTGGCTTGCCCCGCTCTGTGCTAGCTTGAGGAGTGCGGGGATGGACAGCCGGCCCCTTCCACCCGAGGCCCAGCCTAAGGAGCCAAGTCCCACCCATCCCAGCCCCATCTATTTATTTTAGTTTGAAGGTTTCCTCCAGGCTCTGCAGGGCCTGCTCTTGAGTGATCTTTTCCCAGTCCCCTGGGAGCTCCGCTGGTTCCGCGTTATACGCTTTGGCAAATTCTTGATTGAACTCCTTAAACACAAACTTCCAGTAATCAGAAGCATTGACGTCGGGATCAGGCTGGATGCGCCAGTTGGGGAAAATAGCCCGATACTCTTTAAAAGGATGGCCCTCCCATCGTGTCTCCAGGCACCGGAACATGCCATTGGAATGCACAGCAGTGGTGCATATTTCACAGACAAGTATCTCTGTTTCACTGCACCGATATTCCCCTAACCCTTGAGGCCGATGCACCGATGCAAAATGTTCGGTATGGTCGGCGCCTACCGCCTCGCAGGGCACTTTGCAGAACGGACACTGCTTCCCACAGCCAAACACTCGCTTGAAGATCTCGTCCTGCGGCTTCACTGACAGACGGGAGAGTTTAGACTTGATTTCCAAATTTTTAAATTCAGCTAAGATTTGGGACTTCAGCTCCAAAAGAAAAGCGTGAATGAAAGCGGCAAATTTCTCTGCCTTAACTGTGTTTATAAAGCGTATTCCCACTAGATCATCCTTGGAGATGACTAGGTCTTTCTGCAGCACTTTGCAAAAGTTGTCGAGAAAGACCAAGGTCGAATCTGTCTGATCTTTGGAGTTTTCCAGAGCACGTTGGACTTTCTCTATTGCTGCAGAGAGAATGTCTCTCTCCATATCTTCTAGGCTTTTCTGCTCATGGTAGTGACCAACCAGGTGTCCCTGTTTTCAATATATTTCAAATAGTTGGGAAAAGAATTTTCCTCCAACAATTTTTTGTGTGTGGTAAATTGGAAGATGCCCCGGCTGGTGTAATTGATGGACTGTCCACTTCTGAGAATGTCATCTGCTATGGCTATTCCTAGCCTCTTGTTGAGGTAGTCCACCAGGGCGGGCTTCAGACACTGGTCACAGAAATCCCTGGCTCTCTTCTGACTGACCTCTTTGTCTGAGTAAACATCTTTCAGGATGGAGAAATACTGAAGTTTAAGTTTCTTCAGACTTTGCTGAGGGTCTGTTTCTCTCATAAAACTATTGTGGATCTTCTGAAATGTTCTAGCAGCTTCTCCCAGTACGTGCCGTTTCAGGTCAACTTCAAAGCAGCCACTCGTGTGAAGTTCTGAAACGTCCCCCTGTTGGAGTCTCTCGTTGATCATACCCAGCAATTCTCTGCAGTAGACTTCATCGTAGTCAGCTGTAGAATTTGCTTTCTCTTCAATGTAGGCAAGGCACTGGCGCATTAACGACATAGCGATTTCCTCTGCTTTCTGCCACTTTTCCTTTGTGAACAGTTCCTTCAAAGTTTCGGCCAACGTCAAATCTAAATATTCCTTCTTCATTGTGAAGGAACTTATGGTGTAATGGAGCAAGCTCCCGGCGTCTTGGTGCATCAGTTTTCCTCGATGCTCTAGGTCCTCTTCCAGCAGTCTTTGCATCTCTTGAAAGATCGGTCGTTTCACTGAAGAAAACAACATGGATTCGGACAACACCTCCCTCCACATGGCCTGGAATTCCCTCTCCAGTTCCTCATTGCTCAGTTTCTCCCCACGACTCCTGCAGTTTTCCAGCAGCTTGCCTAATTCTTGTTCGATTATTTTCCTGAACTCCGCCTCGCTGTGGTAATACTTTCCCAGGCCCTTTCGTCTGTTCTGGGCCCTTTCCAGCTGGTGGTGGAAATAATTGTGAAACACAGAGGCCGAGTTGCTTGTGTTCCTGATGAAATCTTCCTTGAGCTGTACCAGGTGTGTGCCCGAAGCGCCACCTTCAATGTATTTTTCAAAACACTCCAAAATCTTGTCTTCTTCATGCCGCAGTTTCTGCTTGGTTTCCCGGCTTATCTGGGTGAGGTGCTCGGTGTTCAGTTCATCGGGCGCCTGGTTCTGGAGGAAAGTTTCTTGCTCACACAAGCAGAGGTGCATTTTCTTTTGGAACTCCCATTCCAGTTCAGAAAACTTCGTTGATGCTACGTTATAGGCCTTGGTGGCGAGAGGATTTCTAAAGCTGACAATGAAGTTCTCATGCTTGAGCGCATTCCACAGGCTCCTGAGCCATTCGCTCAACTGGGGAAGGTTTTTGGGAGGAATCCCACCGGATTGGATCCGGATTAATTCCAGCAGGTGATTCTTCAGCTCCCCCACGCTCTTACTGTAGCCGGGGTTCACAGGTGCCACGGGAGAGACTCCGTGCCAGAGGCCGGGGAAGTACCACTCCTGTGTTTCTGGATCATAGTTCACAATATCTGAGAAGGTCACTTCTTTGCCTGGTTTTTCCATCTTTGCTGCAGCTTTGGTCATTTTGTCCAGCTGCTCCAGGAGGCGTTCCCCGTCCCTCCTGTGTTGTCCATGCGCTGACACATGACTGATGTTCTGATGCACAAACAAACACTGCGGGTTTTGCCCAATTTCCTTTATTCTGAGGAAGGCATGGACCACGAGTTGCAGAACAGTCTTCATGTCGGTGGCGTTCTCCATGTTGACGATGACAATGTCACTCAGTCCAACCACCAGCGTGGCCAGCTCGTTGTCGTGTTCACAGCCGTCCTCCAGCTTGGCCGGTTCAGGGGCTTTCAAGCCTTCTGTGTCTATCACCAGGAGGAAATCACAGGCCAGGTCCTGCTGGAATTTGTCCACCCCTTGTTATTTAATTTTGAAGGCTTCCTCCAGGCTCTACAGGGCCTGCTCTTGAGTGATCTTTTCCTAGCCTCCTGGGAGCTCCGCTGGTTCAACTTTATACGTTTTGGCAAATTCTCCATTGAACTCCTTAAACACAAACTTGCAGTAATCAGAAGCGTCGACGTCGGGATCTGGCTGGATGCGCCAGTCGGGGAAAATTACACGATACTCCTTCAAGGGACGGGCCTCCCATTGTGTCTCTGGGCATCAGAACGTGCTGCTGGAATGGACAGCAGTGGTGCATATTTCACAGACAAGTATATTTGATTTCAGCCCGCGGTATCTCCCTAATCCTTGAGGCCGATGCACCGATGCAAAATGTTCCGTATGGTCGGCGCCTTTTGCCTAACAGGGCACTTTACAGAACGGACACTGCTTCCCACAGCCAAACACTTGCTTGAAGATCTCCTCCTGTAGGTTCACTGACAGATGGGAAAGTTTAGAGTCGATTTCCAAATTTTCAAATTCAGCTAAGATTTGGGGTTCCAGCTCCGAAAGGAAAGTGTGAATGAAAACCGCAAATTTCTCCGCGTTAACGGTGTTTATGAAGCGTATCCCCTCTAAGCCGTGCTTGGAATTGACTAAGTCTTTCTGCAGCACTTTGCAAACGTTGTCGAGAAAGACCAAGGTCGAGTCCGTCTGATCTTTGGAGTTTTCCAGCGCGCCCTGGACTTTCTCTATTGTTGTGGAGAGAGAATCTCTCTCTCCATATCTTCCAGGCCTTTCTGCTCACCACAGTGACCAACCAGGTGTCCCTAGCCAGCACTTCCATATTGACGCCTTCCTGGGATGAGTTCATTATGCTGCGTATAGAGTGCTGGAGAATCTCCACTAATTCTGTCCCATTTAAGTTGTGGCTTCTCTCCAGCACGTTCAACTTGTTCAGTTTCAGCAGTGGGGCTAATGTATCGAGGGAACGCAGAGTTTCACTGCGTGTCTCAGCCAGGGCGCTGAGGATGAAGTAGTATTGAGTGGTGGATCCCTGCAGGGAGGAGAGCAGGACGCATTCTCTCTCACCGATGCTCTCGGTAACGATGAACACCGCTGAGGAGATCTCTGCTAAAAATCTGAACTGCAGCCAGTGTGACTCAATGTCCCCGCGCAGGTTTGTAATCGCGACGGGCTCGGGAAAAAGATCTGAATTCTCCCGCCCAGCAGGGAAGTACCAGGCAATCTCGACCAGCCCGTCAGCGATTTCCCGCCGGACGTTCCCAGACTCCATATCCCGATGCACAAACAAGTCGTGGTGCTGCTGGGCGGGGCTGAGAACCTCGTTGAGGAGCTGGGACTTGGAGAAGCTGCAGCTGCCCAGCCGCACAAAGGAGACGGTTGGCATTGGGGTGAGCACCAGGCTCTCCTCCCTGAACCCTCGGCTCTGTGCCAGGGAGTGCGGCCGCCACCTCCTCACAATGTCCCGCATGGCCCACAGCAGCAGGGTGCACCTGGGGGAGTCGAGGGCGGGCAGCAGCAGAGGCAGGGCAAACTGGCACATGGACATTCTGGACAGGATCTCCTGCTGCAGGAAACTGTCTGAGCAAAGCAGCACGGCGCAGAGAACGTCCAGGGGGTGCAGGGAAGTCCTAGTGTCTGTGTTGCTATGAGGAAGGATCTCACCACCGTCACCTTGTCCCTCATTCGCCTCACGGCTGGCTTGGTCACCAGATGCTCCCTGCCCGAGGCTAGTGTTTCTGGCCGCCCCATCCAGAGCCAGGACCTTCCTGAGGAAATGCCACGGTAAATCCCCTACAGCCTGAGGAGTCCAGCTCTGCAGACTTTCTAGGTTGATTTCCTGAAGATCCCTCAGCCTCAGCTTCCTGCTTCTGTATGGCTCCATCTTCAGCCGGGACAGGACGTCCTGGGTCGCTCCCCTTCTCTCTGCAGGAAGAGTGTAAAGCGTGAGCACGTTTCACAACTGATTTTTATTTTTATTTTTTTACAAATCTCTTTTGACAGTGAGTGCTGGTGCAGGCTGGTGGTAGTGAAAATTGCGGCCCCCACTTCCATGTGAAAGAGAGGGGAAACTCGTAAAAGATTGTGGAGTACATGTGGGTGAAGAAATCATCCACGAAACTAAACTTCTCGGTTCTAGTTCCTTGCCTCTTCCGTACCTGGAAATCTGTTCTGTTCCCTTGTTTGCAAATTTTAACTAACCCACCTGTCCATCAAAGCAACAACTCTAAGCCATCAAAAAAACCTCTTTGTCCTAGAATCTTCAAATATGGTGAATCTCCTGTTTTCTACTGAGTCTGATAATTCACAATAAGCGTCAACTCCCATGCGATTTCTACCTCCTACAAAGGCAGTCACAGCAGCAAATTTCTTTAGGTAGTACTGTGAGGACAACTCTTTGCATCTGGAACTGTGAAACTCAAAGCCCATGAAACGTGTGCTTAATTCTGCATGAGCCAAACTGGACAATCGCTACGACAAAGGATTAATGGACGCAAATGAGATATTTGAAATGGCAACGCACAGAAACCTGGAGGGGGAATATTTTAACCTGCTTGGGCACTCTTAAGTCCGTTAGGGTATGTCTACACTAGCCCCCTAGTTCGAACTAGGGTGGCTAATGTAGGCATTCGAACTTGCAAATGAAGCCCGGGATTTAAATGGCAGGCTCCATTTTTAAATCCCCTTAGTCCAAACTGACTGCCCACGGCTACACGCGGCAGTCAGAAGTTAATCCGAACTAAGTCCTTAGTTCGGATTAACTGTTATACCTCATTGCAGGATTTAGTTCGGATTAACTTCTGACTGCCGCGTGTAGCCGTGGGCAGTCAGTTTGGACTAAGGGGATTTAAAAATGGAGCCTGCCCGGGAACATGCAAATGAAGCCCGGGATATTTAAATCCCGGGCTTCATTTGCAAGTTCGAATGCCTACATTAGCCACCCTAGTTCGAACTAGGGGGCTAGTGTAGACATACCCTAACGGACTTAAAAGTAGCTCTTCTTCTACAAAGAAATATCACCAACTATCTAGCCAGAGAAAGTGCAGGATTTATCTTCATATGTGAATTTGACACTGTTTGCCTGGGCTTGAATAAAGACATACACTGGATGACATATTATAACACCAACGTTCCGTACATTCCACACCCTATTGGCATCAAGAGTGAAGTATGGGAAACTTCCAGCCCGCCCAATTAATCCTACTAGCACCGGGAATACAACTGACAGGTTGTGGCAGTGCGTCGGGGTTCCCCGTCTATATCAAGAACAGATTCCACCAGCCGGTAGAATAGAGAGGGGTTTATTGCTTCTCCGGGATACAGCACAGCCTAGATACAGCGTAGTTACAGGAGTCAGGGTCAGGATGCCCCAAATCCCTTGAGTCAGGGGTCCATCACCCCTCAGCTTTGGCTCTTCCCTTCATGTTTTCCAGCCAACAACTTCCCCTTCCCCCAAAACCTGGGGTTCGCCTCCACCTCCCTCCCTTTCTCTGTCCCCCTGGGAGGCTGCGCCTAGGTGTCTGGGTTAGTATACATGTGGGTGAGTCAGTAGGAAGCACACATCACAGTGCAGGGAGACACTGGGTTACAGAGCAGACAGCCTCCTCACTACATCACACAGGTCATATTTTTCTTCCTCTCCCTTATTATTCTAAAAGTCCCCCCCATTTTTTCCTCCACTGAAGCTGAGGAAGTGGGGTTTGCCCACAAAAGCTCGTGATACCAGATACTGATGTTAGTTTCTGAGGGTATGTCTACACGAGCAGCATTTTTTCAGAATAACGGACATTGGTCCGGGATCACATAGTCCACATCTACACTGCAAGCCCCCCTTTTTTTTGTTTATGTTTTTGCTTTTGTTGAAAACCAAGAGGAGGAAAAATGTAAAACCTGGATCTGAAGCGGCAGCATATACCTAAAATCAGATGCTGTGTCTACATTGGCATGATTTTGCGCAAAAGCATGCGCAAAATCTTGCCACCTGACTACACTGGCTGCGAGTATTTGTGCAAGAACACTGATGTTCTAATGTATAAAATCAGTGCTTCTTGCACAAGTACTCTGACTCTCCCGCTTACGGATAAGCCCTCTTGTGCAACTGGTCTTGCGCAAGAGGCCAGTGTAGACAGGCAACATCAATTTCTTGCGCAAGAAAGCCCGATGGCTAAAATGGCCATTGGAGCTTTCTTGCGCAAGAGAGTGTCTACACTGGCACGGATGCTTTTGTGCAAAAGCACATCCCAGTGTAGACGCTCTCTTGTGCAAATGCTTTAACGCAAAATCTCTTGCGTTAAAAGAATTTGCACAAAATCATGCCAGTGCAGACGTAGCCTAATAGTTTTCTGGAACCTTCTTTGCCAACTCCTGATATGCCTAAAGTACAGTAAAACTCCAATAGTCCGGCATCCAGTAGTCCGGCACTCCTGATAGTCCGGCATCAAAATGGCAAGAGCCTAGTGAGTGAGCTTCAGCAAAAAATGAGTCACAAGGTAACAGTGGCAGCAGCTGAACTGAGCAAAAAGAGTAAAAAAGGCTTAAAAAACCCTAAAATATTACAGTATACTGTATACAGTATGTACAATAAAAAGGGTTAAGAACACTTTATATACAGTATATAATGTATACAGTATATATATAACCAGCTTATAGTACCTCCTGATAGTCCGGCATATCTGATAATCCGGCACCACCTAGGTCCCATAGGTTCCGGATTATCGGAAGTCTACTGTATATGGAGAATTGAATCCTCTCTCTCTAGGCCAGGTCTACAATGGCAGAGACAATCAATACATGAATTTTGTAGCCGGAGTCGATATACCTTGCATCAATTTTCTGGGGTGGTCCCACAGTGGGAGGTTGATGAGAGAAACTCTCCTGTCAACGTCCCTTATTTCTTGTGACAGTGAGGAGTACTGGTGCTGCTAGAGGCGCCCTCCGCATTCGATTTAGTCAGTCTTTGCTAGACTCTCTAAATTGAACCCTGGAGGATAGATGGCTGGAGCATCCAGCCTCTGGTAAGTGGAGAGGTGGCTTTAGGCTCACACACTCAGATAAGACAAAGCAAAGGCTGTGCAGGAAAGTTTCAGATGTGTGACAGTCAGAGAAGGGGTTTTCTCCCTCCAGCTGTTGTTTCTTACCAGATCCTGTGGTGTTCGTCAATCTTTCTTCCAGGCCGTGCTGGTTGATGGCCCTCTGCAGCTCCATAGTCACCTCCTTCCTGTTGTCAGGCTTGTCTCTGGGCTCTGCCCCTTGCAGTGTGCTCCGGGGGTGTTTTCAGACCCTCCTTGTGACTGTCACTCCCTTTGGATGCAAACGCCTCGAACTCTTGGCCCAGGTCGTCCAGGTTTCGTAGCAAACAGTCTCTCACCGTCTCCTCTGTGCTGCTTCCTCACCCGGCGGAGCACAGGCTCACGAAACTGCTGCTGTGCAGGCTAACAGGAAACCCGACAAGGATGTATTCCCAGAAACAAGGCAAAACCGAAACTGGTCACATTCCAGAGCAGGCTGTGTGCAGCAGCCCTCCCCTTCGCCCCTGCCTCAGCTCTTCTCCACACAGTGTGCAGGAGACCACAGTTGTGTATTTCACTCTCCCGCCCCCGCCAATCCATAAACTGATCCGGCCTGCCAAGCATTTCTCTCCGGCCCGCCCAGCTGATGTGCAAAGTTACAGCTGGCAGCGTGTTCCGCCGCCCCTCCCACACCGTGCTCCCCTTCCAGATTCTCTTGCGGCTGAGCAGAGAGGTGGAGAGGGGGGTGCCGATGTCAGGCTGTCCCCCCGGCTTCTGTACCCCATCTCTGCAGCGTGGGGGTCGGGGAGAGGGAGACACACAGCGGGGATGCAGAGCTGGGCAGCTTTGCCTCTCCGCTCTGAGTGCCGCACACGCTCAATCGGCGTCACAAACTCGGTCTCGCGCACAGTGTCCGTTTCACACGCGCACGCTCTCCTGCTCTCTCTTTCGCCTGCATGCCCCCGCTTCCGCCCGAGGCCACGCCCCTTCTGGTGGGACCTGGAACCAGCCTGTGACTGAGGAAGTGGGGAGTTTTGGGGGCTCAAAGGGGGGTGTTCCATACAGGGGGGCGCTCCGTGCCCAGGAGTTACTGGTTCAATGTGACAAAGGGCGGGGGGAGTTGTTTCAGAGAACAGCCCAGAGCTGGAGCCGGGGTGTCTAGGAGCCTGGTGACCCCAGTCCTGTTCAGAGGACGGTTCTGGCCAGACGACAGACAAGGGGCTGCAGAGAGGACCCCAGCAACCAGCCCAGCTGGTCCCAGAGAGGGGAGAACATTGGACGGAGGAGAGGGGAGGCGGAGAAGAGAAGGTCCCAGGTGACCCTGTTACCTGGAGAGAAGACAATGGACAGGGGAGGAGCTGTTGCTGGGGATATTGGAGGCTCTGCTGGAAGACTGGGGGGCTGTTCAGGACACAGAGCAGAACCAGACTCAGCTAGCTGCAGGGGAGACTGACGTGCAGGGCTGAGGGCCCAGGCTTGCCCGTTGCTGTGTTCAAAGCTCACTAGACCCTTCTGTTTGGTGCTGGCTGATAATCGCTCTGGTCTAGAGAACAGGGGGGCGCTATGCCTTCTGGGAATGGAGGCCCCAGGCATCCAGAGAGAGTGGACCCCCCGAGGGGGTCACGGAGGAGGCAGGCAGCTGAGTGGCACCGGACCCCCAGGTGAGAATGGACTCCCCGAGAAAGGGCCATGACACCGCCGCTGTACTGGAGTGGGCTCCCCAAGAAGGGGCTGTCTCACGGCTGCTGGAGAGGAGTGGGCTCCCCGAGAAGGGGCTGCCGCACTGAAGAGGGGGGTTCTGCCCCCCAGCCGAGGGGCCGAGTGTGGGCACCGCCTGTGAGCCATGACAGTGACCACCTCCCGAAAGTCATGACGTGGCCCCCCTCCGAAAATTAGAGCCTGCTCCTGCCCCAAACGAATGTTCCCTCTAATATTTTTCCGTCCATGTGTGGAATAAATTGTTTTATATGCACCTAACATTGTTCGGATGTGCACCACCTGGAGCAACACACACTGCCGGTTGTGGGTGCTCTGATAATCAGCCAGGTGGCACTTGACTCTCTCCTGGGCACCCACCTGCCTGTTGATGCTGAATGGCTGCTTTTGAGCTCTGAGGCGCTTCTGGTGGGTGGAGATGTGACAGGTTATTAAGCCTCATTTCACCCAATTCACGCAGCGTCTGGGCTCATCTCGTGTCCTCCAGAGGGAGTCTTTCCAGTCTGGGGCATCAGAGAGTGAGGTCGTCAAGTCCAAACCTTAGCCCCACACCTTTCCCATGCTGCTCCAGCAGGCCAAGCAAGGAAGCCGGGCTGGCCCCCACTGCTCCCCAGTCAAGGGGAGAAACCCAGAACTCCCCTTCTTCCCCAGGCTGCCCCCAGCCAAGGGAAAGGGGTGCCGGGCTCTCACTCCCCTCCCGATGTGGCTGATTCTGGGGGGCAAGGAAAGAGCCAAGCTGGGCAGGGAGAGCAGGTGGGGTCAGCGCCGTGCAGGGGGGTATCCGTGTCCTGGCCTCCCCACCTAGGGGCTCCCAGCCAGCTCCCCCCCTTTCTGGATCAGTGGCTGGCAGCCTCTTAACTCCTCCTGCTCGTACTTAAGAACATCACTTATTTGCTTTCCCACCCACTGCAAATAATTATTCCCCGGGGGGAGCATGCAGGGTGCACATCCTCCTGTCAGTGTAAAACGGGGCTTGCCTGTGTGATTTACTTGGGGTGCTGATCCCCTTTGGGGAAGGGTATCGCAGGAAGCCCCAGACGGCAGTTTCCTTGGACCTATAGGCTACGTCTACACTGGCACCCTTTTCCGGAAATGCTTAAAATGGAACAGTTTTCCGTTATAAGTATTTCCAGAAAAAGTGCGTCTACATTGGCAGGATGCTTTTCCGGAAAAGCCCTTTTTCCGGAAAAGTGTCCGTGGCCAATGTAGACGCGTTTTTCCGGAAAAAAGCCCCAGTCGTCATTTTCGCGATCGGGGCTTTTTTGCAGAAAACACTACTGTGCTGTCTACACTGGCCCTTTTCCGGAACAGTTTTTCCAGAAAAGGACTTTTGCCCAAACGGGAGCAGCATAGTTTTTCCGGAAAAACACTGACAATTTTACAGTAGATCGTCAGTGCTTTTCCGGAAAAGCAAGTGGTCAGTGTAGACAGCTGGCAAGTTATTCCGGAAAAGCGGCTGCTTTTCCGGAATAAGTGGCCCAGTGTAGACACAGCC